ACACTGTAACTGCTCCATTTAATAATTACAAACCCAGTGCTTTCTCTTTGGTTGAACGCTTCTTCCTGCCTCTATCACATGGCATAAAAGTTTCTCTCACCGGTCTTGAAAAAAAAACCATCACAGCAAAATACGTTTTCTAAAGAGGATGTAAAATTTTTAAAAACGCTGTCCTGTTTTAGGCCTCCTTGTGCCTTCTGGGAAAACATACTATCAGTTCTTGATGAGGGCGTGTTTGTAATATTTGTGCCCCATGTTTGGGATTATGCAAACAAGGAATTACTGGGATCTGGTTAAAAAATAAAATCAGTTATGAAAATCTGTAAGTGTAAAATACACTATTTGTATCAGTAATCTAAGTTTACCATTGTTTAAAATAAACCAGGCTAAAATTTTTATTAAGGCATGTGAACAATATTGACATTAACTCTTGTTACTTAATTCTGACTTCCATAGGCTTCTATTATACATATTAACTCAAAAGAGAAAATTCACATGGAGAAAAATATGGAACACAAAATCATTTAGATCTTCCTTTCCCAAATTCTGTCTAAAAAACACATCTTGTGTGAGCCTCTTATAGTGAGATCCTATGCCTAGTTTGTGCTTTTACAGGATAGTGACAAGTCAAAATACAGATTAAAGAAGGTCAGTGGTGGGACTCTGGAGGAATTAAACATTCAAGTCTTTTTCGTTTTTAAAACACAGTTACTTCCTAAGACTAGACATTTGCCCCACATCTGAAACACATATCCTATTTGATGTGCAGCTGTCTCAAGACAAAGCTTTGTGAGTTACAGAAGTGAAGCTGTCTTAAAGCTTGTGAAAAATCAATTATCCAGTTATCAGACACACCTTCCTCCCCTGGGGCAAGCTGCGCACCCTAACAGGTACATGACCGCTTTCGGGGGTGCAGAGTACACTGCACAGCAGTGAAGCATAATTTACTCGTACGTCTTGGCATCTAAAGCAGAAAGACATCATGCAACTTTTGACTTACTCCCAGATGGTAACCTACACCCTGATTATAAGCAAAATGCATCTTTGTACATAGTGCTGAGCTCAACACTTCTGTTATCATTTGCCTCGGGCTTAAAATGTACTCATATCTTTGAAGTCTCTATGTCACTAGAGGGGAAACAGCCGTCATGGGGGCCGACAAGGGCTAATGAGAGTATTAGGGGAATTCAGGCACTCTCACGTAACCCAAAATTCTGAAATGGCAGTTTAATCTCTATCCATGAAGATGTCACAGTTCATGTTCTTTTCCACTTTTAACATTTGAACTACTGAAGCAGTTTCCAAAGTTCAAGCATACATCAGAGGCAAAGACAGAACTAAGTGAGAAAAGGGAGCTTGCAGAGGGAGGGTCTGTATCAATATTTATATATCACAAAGTTAAAAAGAAGAATGGAAGGAAAAGAGGGGAAACGAAAGGAAAGGGAATTACCATAGCAGCTAATGAAATCCAAATGAAAATACTAAGGTAAGCAAAATTCATCTTAGGAAGCCAATGGTTTTACAATAAAGAGTTAAGCCATAGCCGGACTATCAGCTTTACCGAGAGCAGACCAATGTTGATTTTGTTCACCACCATATCCTCCCCTCTAGGTCAGGGCCAGACACATAGTAGATGCTCAATTTTAAAAAGTGTTGAATGAATGTCTGCCTTTGGTAAATGCTATTCTATAGCTATAGAACCTTAGAACGATGCAGCATGCAGGGCAATTTCCATCAACTGTACCCCATTCAGAAAGCCCCTTTCCAGCACCACTGTTACAAGGCGTCATCTCAACTTTCAGTGATTCCATGCTCATAACCAAGCCATTTCTACAGCCTGGGATAAAAAAATTAAAAAAAATAAAAATTTAACCTTCCCTCATTCTTTCAATAAAAATTTACTGAAGGACAACAGGGTACCAGTGGTAATGAAACTGAGAGGTTCTAATGCAGCTTATAGAGAGGAATCAGAAAAAGAGCTGCCTAATCTTTTCCTTTTGAATAAACTTAGGGCATATTACCTATAACTTTCTGTCATGCATGTCCTATGCAGAAAGGCAAAGAATCTGTGTGGTTTTTTTAAATTTATTCTAACTTTAATCATTAAGCATTCAAGAAACATACTAAAGGGTAAATCAGATGTTAACATGCATCATCATACATTGTGCAAAAAAAAATGCATCTGAACTCCAGCTCCAAAATTTCACTCTCACAATACAAGGTGCCTTTACATATCATTCCCTGCCTTCCACCTTTAACCCTTAAGGAAACAGGCAATGTAATGACATTTTAATAAGGACAAATGTCCATCTAGATGTAACAGCAGCTCAGGAAAGTTATCCACACTCAAGTTGACCATGAAAAATGCAAAATTAGGTAACGGAGTCTTATTAGAAATAAAGGCAGTTCCTATTACCAATTAGCACCTTAAACTAAACAGCGTTACTTTATCCAAGACAGTTATATACCAAGTACCCTAATGACGAAAATTTCAATTTTTTCCATGTAAATACTACGGGATCCTAATATGTTTAAATGACTCAATAAGGAGTGATTTCTCAGTACTAGTAATTAAAAGTATGCGAAAGATGTCTTCCTCAGCAATTGGTATTTCTGCTTGTGAAGAGTAATCACAACTAAGGCCCAGAAAGGATAATCGAAGAAAGTAAAATTGTCAACTGGGAATTACCAGTCACTTTTCCAAAGACAGCTGTGTGGTTATTAGAGGAACAAGTGAGGACAGGCCAGGAAACCTCCGGCCATCTTACCTTGCAGCAGCTCGGCAGAAGGCCAAGGGCAGGATGAAACTTCAGGGTGGCCCCATTAAACACACCTCATTGTATTAAAGCCAATTTTTCATGAAATTGGGTCTGTGTTTTAAATGGTGGCCACTATATTTATTTTAAAATCAGATTTCATCCATAATACCACAACCAAGAAAGCAGTTGACATCCGAAGGAGCAGAGAGTGGTAATTTTATACATGTACACAGTTTTCTGGATTCTGTGGAGACAATCAACGTGGGTGGTCCTAATTCACACTAGTTTTCAGTCATGGCAAAACTAGTTACTCAGGCTAGCATTCAAGAGCATTTTGTTTCCTTTATATTCTAAATTTGCTTTATTTACAGTATAAGCCTAAATGAAGTTAAAAACCAAACCTATAAGCCTAAGACTATTTATAACTCTCTATAAACAACATAAAAACTAGAAAATCTTAAACTCAGGAGTCAATGACAGTAGCCAGTGGACTAGAGCATCCCATAGACCCAGGATGAGAAGTTTCCAAAGAAATTTGCAGGAAAGAATTTCTAATGTGTGGGAAGGATGCCAGTGACCAGCATCTCAGATCTGCCCTAGTTAATTTATATATTCATTCATTCACTCATTCATTCATTCTATAATCCTTGAAAGAAAGCCTACTGTCGTGGCAGGATCTGCACGAGACATTGGCTCAATGATGAAAAACACCCAACATGTCCTCAAAAGCTCGCACTCTATGAAAAGAGAAGGCGAGTGAGGAGGTAAATATGATGCTTTGTGCTAAATGGTTTGATAAAGGTCAAGGACAGGGTATAGGACTAACTTCGTCATGGATGCAGAAAGGGATCCGAGAAGGCTTTCTGGAGGACATGACATTTGAGATGAGAACTGAAAGACATGTAGTTAACAGCCAGGTGAAGGACAAAAGGGAGAAACAGAAGAAGGATAAAAGCAGGGGGAGGATAACAGTTACGAACTCCCTGTCCGAAGGGAGTAGGGCCCATAGGTGATACGTAAGTAGCTGAGTCTGGCTGGAATGTGGATTTTAGAAAGAAGGGACGTGGGGGAGACAGAGAGTGTGTGCCTGTCCTGGATCTAATGATCACTGTAAGTTGGGGAAGGGGGTGGTGAAAGAGAGACCCCAGGTTTCTGCTTTGGAGGGGTGAGTCGTGGAGGGACAGGAGTTATCCAGGGCAGACCTTAAAGACGATGTGGTCCAGTGGATCCCCAAATCTGGCCCCAGGTGGATCTTTCGAATTAAAAACTCTGAGATGGGAGGCTATGACTCGGTATTACCATGGGAGTCCATGGAGCAGGGTCAGGATATCATAGGCTTAAGTGTAGAAATGAGGAAACTAAGATGATGTGACTTTAATTCCAGGACTAGGTAGCGGCCCGGGAACGCCCACAATCCAGGTGTTCCACACACTCCCACCACCTGCCGCCCCCAAACTCCCAGGGCTCTGTCTGCTGTGTAGCCAGCCAAGTCTCCATCAGGCTGCTTGGTGTAAAAAAACAAAAAGGGTGGCCTGTTTCCATCAGTCTTGTTTGCCTGTAATTTCCCTCCCAATGTGTAAAATAACAAAGAGGAAGCAGACAGCATAATTTGGAGCCAGATTTCCCATATCACATCGCATTTTGTGGTAATTCTATGAAATTCAAGTTGGATATTAGAATGTCAGTTTAAAAGGAAACCGGTTATTAGTAAAGGATAACAGGTGCTTTAAAACTACAGTAAGTGTTGACATTTGAAGGAATGGAAGCATGATAACTTAATGCTTTTTTTTGGCTTTGCATGGAAATGAATGCCCATTCCTTGTCAATTCTCACCTCTACTTCGCTCAAAGATTGCATATATAACAGGAAAGATCTCCAAAGGAAAAAGATCACACACACTGTCAAGGACAAATAAACTATGGTATCAATCACAGTGTAATGGAATGGAGAGATACAAGATGCCAGGAGACTAAAATGCAACTGCAATTAGGTTTTACTTTGTCGGGAAATAATTATTATGAATCCGTTACCTTGGTCTCCCAGTCTTATGGTATGAAACAACACTTAAGATTGTGATGCATCAAAATGCACTCTCTTTTTCCTTAAAGAAGAACTGTGAGTAGGGAGGCAGCTCTGATTTCTATACAAGCAAGCATGCAAAGTTTCCTTCTTAGAAAACGATTCAAAAATATCTTTGGCATTTGGCTTTTGTACAACATGCACTGTTTCTATGCTGCCACAACAAATTGGAGATAAGTAAACTATTTCTTGAACAGAGACAGCAGAAGAAAACATGATACGGCAGCAAGGCATTGAATGGACAGTCTGGATTCCAGGTCTAGTAGGCAGAAAAGCTACATTTCACCTCTGGGTATCAGCTGCTTTGTTGGTGTAAAGAGCGGCCTCAATGGAAGGTCTCTCAAATCTCTCTTAGCTTTAATGTCTCATAATTCTATGTCCATGGAGCAGAGTCTACTCCACCCTCTCACCAATAGAGGGAAACGTAGTTTTCCCTTTACCAGACCTCAGATTCTTATTCACCCTGAAAAATACGGGGGATGCCAAAAAATGTTTACATATGACCTATATTCATCTTTTGTTATCGTTATATATTGAGTATTACAATTTTAATACAGTTTTTTCCTTTCTTAAAGAGCGTATACTTTTTTTTGGCACCCTCTGTATATACCACTTAGGAAACCATGGAAATCCAGAGGCATCATTCTCTTTTTTTCTCCTAAAATGTTCTTGCCAGTAGTTTTTTTTAAAACCTTTTCTTAAGGTTTTAAAACTAGCACTTACTAAATATTAACTATATTTTGGTATTGCTATGTGTTTTATAAGATTAACTCTTTTAATCCTCACAATGCCACAAAATAAATATATTACCCTTCCCATACTAAGGATAGGAAACTGAGACTCAAAAAGGTTAAGGAATTGCTCACAATAGCGATATCACAGACCACTTTCAGGGTTTTATTCAAGTCTGGGGTGAATTGGGGGATTGGGGACCTCTGGGCCAAATGCTCCCCATCATTTAGGTGGTGCCTGACCAGTACATAGCACATGGCAATGAACTTATTACCTTGAGTATGCAGCTACCCACTCATTTTATTCAGGCATTATAAAAGGATTCTTTTAGAGGGTCTTCTTTATCCACTTGACTGGCCCCTCAGAATCACGTGATTTTCCTTTCCTCCTCCAATACCCCAACACCCAGTATTTACCTCTTTCTTTTTCCTCTCCTCTTCCTTCCGTTTCTTCTCTTCTCTTATCTGTGCTAAGCGCTGTTTTTTGCGCTCTAGCTCAGCTTTTAAATCACTTTTGTCAGACATGTTGGTTTCCTTGGAGGAAAAGAAAAAACAATGTGAATATATAAAAATAACTTTTCTGTATTTGTATTAGCATTGCAAAAATCGTTAAAAAGGAAATCCAGTTTTGGGCAGTAACAGGTTGTATTATTTAGCCTATGTCAAAGAAACAAAGAAACAAGTTCAGTTAGATCTAGTCTCACTCTATATAAAATCTTCCCTTATTATGTATATGTAAATATTTGAAGAAATACAATGTTATAGTCTATTCTGGTCTGAGGAATAATAGCAACTTCAGAATAAGTAACGCATTCTCTGTAAAAGTTTCTGACAAATAAACTAAATAAATAAGAGAACCAAAAAATAACCATCATCATGACTTCCAATTTAGATGATAATGGACCAATTCATCCCCACACTGAGAAAAGAAAATAGGCTGTCATAAACCCTTAGAGACGTGCCTTCTCAAATTTCCATGGACTCAGTAAACATTCCTCCGCTGAGCTTGGGCACATAGAGATTTCATTTTACCTAACATTATATGCGTCAGGGAAGACAGCCACTGAAGGCCTAACATATTAATCTTCTTTTTCTGTAAAACTTCTCCTGAACTGTCACAATTAATTTCATCTCCAATACAACCCTATTTCTATAAAATTCACATTTGCATAACGGAATGCAATATTGCTTATCCTGGCATTTCCCTTTTCAAAGCAAAAGCTGTTTGTGAACACATGAAGTAGGAGATAAACATCATGGAGAGTTCTTGGGAAAATCTATCTGAGATTTAATTTTAATGTTAATGGTGATGGTGATGCTGGTGGTGATGGTGCAAGAAATATTTTCAAATAAAATGAGTTTGGAGAAGACTCTCACCAATTACCAATGATTATATTTGTCTCTTTTGTGTTCCTAACTGGGAACTAAGAAAATGGTAACAACTGAGAAATGAAGAACCCCCCCTCTAACTCAAATTCCTAAAACAGAGCTAAAAAACAAAAAAGCTAACCACAAATGCCACGAGTATTCATTTGCATAGTATTTGTATGCAACTATGATGACTATATAATGTATCCCTAAATAGATGAGAGTGATAGAAGGCAAAAAAGGACCAAAGAATACAAAATAATGAAAAGTCCTCAAACCTCCTGTCATTGTCTTTAGAAGGTAATCAAGAACCTGCAGTCACCCTAAGACCTGCTTTCTGATGAATACACACAGTTGAGAAGTGGGCTGTGTTCCTACTGTACATATTTCTGCTCATGGTACGATGGCAAAGATTTGTGAAATAACAATAATCACAATAATCAATCTGCCATTCATGATCACACGCTGTCTTCACTTTTTAACAAATACTTGTTGAATATTTAATCTGTGCAAAGCACTCTATATGGCATCAGGCCACAAAGATGAGCATAACCAGATTCTCTCCTTCAAGGAGTGCCTAACTCAACTTTGTGGGCATGTGGGGTGGTGGGGAGGGTCGTCTCTGAGATATTGGCTTATTGATTACTGAGTGCCAGGCACTTGACATTTATTGTCACATTTAATCAAAATGACCCAAGGAGACCGGTGTTATTATTAATGTCTTTTCCACAATTCAGCTAAAGGAGGCTCAGCAAGACCTAAGACTGTATAGTCAATACATGACAGAACCTAAATTGAAGTGTGTCCATGCTCTGAACTACGACTCTGCTCATCCCAATGTACAAGTTCAGGGGGAATGCAGAGCACAAGAATAATCAAGATCTGGTGGAGTGGGCCAGGGAAAGCCTAAGGAAGAGATGGAATTTGAACCGGACATCAAATGAGGTCAGGAGCTCGCAAAGGATGGGAAGCTAGAGATTTGCAAAGACCTATGGCAGACGTAGTAACCAGCAGGCTGTGCACAGGAGACGGCTGAACCCAAGTCAAAAAGTATCAACTTGAGTCGGTAAGAATGGATATGTGCAGGCAACTGGTGAAGCCTTGGGAAAAGGAAAACGTGAGTTCCATTTGGTAAAATGAGTGATGGGAAATCACAGAAGCTTTTTAAAAGGGAAAGTGACAAAGTGAAAATGGAACTTGCTTAATTAAGCCTCTTCGTGCCCCTGCCTGTAAAACAGATGGGAGCAGAAACTAGAAATAAGACAAGTTACTGGGAGGTTGGAGCCAACATCCATCAGGACTGACTGCACCTGCACCGGGATGGTAGGCGAATGCAGAGACAGAATGTAGGGAGTGTGGACTGGGAACAGCACAGCCACAAAGGAAGAAGTAACTCTTGGTAGCTGTTACATGTGGAGGCAAAAGAGAAAGATTTTGTAACAATTCAACTTTGAGAGAGCAAAGAGGATGGCAGTGAAACTGGAATGAGAAGGCAAAGAGGGAAATGATGCAAAAACAATTTGGGTGTCAACGGAACTTCTGGGCAGAAAGAACGCAGAGATGCAATATACAGATGATATGAGAAGCTGGATAGGGACAGGGGCTGTGAACTAGAGTTCAGAGTCATTCACATACAAAGGACTTTTTAAATCTGAGTCACACATTCCAAATCCTACAGGTGCCAGGCAGATAACATGAGGGAGCAAAGCAGTAACAGAGGCCAGCCACAGAAGAAACCCAATGCCCTAAGGAGGCAGCTCTATCCAGCTCCAATAGACGGTTGACATGGAAGAATATGGACCCACGCAGTTAGATCTTCTGATATTCTTTTTTCAAGAGAAGCCATAGAACTAATTAAAAACACGTTTATCAATACTGTTGGGCAAAAATCCTGGCAAGAGAAAATCGGAACCTAATTCCAGAAGCCATCTGGAATTAGGGGTCAATTTATGTTTCTGATGTCAAAAATGAAATGCACAATCAGAAAAATCACTGTTAAAACAATAGCTGTGTCATTCTATGCCAAAAGTGGCCAGTGGAAACTTCTTAGAAAACTCTAAGTTTCCCTCTCCCCCACATTTCCCCAACTTTTATTTACCTTTCCCTGCCTATCAGATAGCAGGACTTCAGCTATATATTCTGGTCATTAAGGAGCAAACTATGGAATAAGAACATCCTGTATTTGTTGTGATTTTCTTGTGAAGAACTTCATTCACCAGCGGGAAGTAAGGCGTATTCTCAGTACATTTCTGCAAAGGGCAAAGGTCTACCTATAACCGATAAATATGTGTGACAAGTCGGTCATTTAAGTTGGTGTTACCAGCTGTAGAGCCAATATTTTTAAAATATACAACAAAAACACCAAAGGAACTTTTAAACAATTATATTAAGTGGTGATGTTTCAAATAACACACTTCACTTTTTAAAGGTAGTAGATCCACAATGCTAGACCTTCCACTTATTGATAATTTGGATCTATTTCAAAATAGACATTTTGCATCAGCCCCGAGGAGAATAAGAAATCTCAAGAGAACATCTCATAAAGGGTTTGGAAAGTACACATTAAATGAATGGGCCTTTACACATAGTGAAATGGCTTAAATAGCGGCATTAAATGCAGTGTCAGCATTGAACTCCACAGGTTTTTTGGGGGGGTGAGGGGAGGGGAGCTTGCCAATCTGACCCACTAAATCTCCCTGCATATGAAACAAAGCAAAATCAAGAAGCAAAGCATGGGGAACGTGAGTTATAGAGCTTCCAGCGGTTAACGCAGGTCACTGGAAAGGCAATTCTGATATTCTCTGTTTAAGAAAATAAGAACCAGAGCTACCTGCTGCTAAACATTCCTCACTGGCTTCCAACACATAAAAATGGAATTCACCCTCATTCAATAACCAAGCCATCGCTCAAAGCTTACTACAATCATTTAAAACAATGTTACAGTGAGAAATACACTAAAGGTATATAATAGCATGTTACTGATTTAATAGCCATACAGTCAGAGTGAGAAGACCCAGTCTGTGCTCCTAGACGTCATTCTAAGGCACTTCAGAAAGAATAGAAGGAGGTTTTCAATCTAAATGGGTTATAACATGGAAAGTGTGTGGCTAAAAAGGTAATGACTCAAAGAAAAAGTATTTTTTTAAATGAAACGTAATCATTTAATTTAGTAGTAATAAAATCCTTCTCGATTTTTCTGTTGAACACCGGAATTACAAATCAAGCTGTCCCACGCAGGCATCCTTCCCTATCTTACCCACTTCCCTCAGAGGATGGAGAGGAACCTGGAGAAACAGCTTCTTCTCTACTTAACAAGTTAGTTACAGGGAGGGTCATTCTTGGTGTCGCATCACAGAAATGGATCATTGGCCTCAGTGTCAATAGAGGCAAGAATGGGGAGACGAGAGAGAAAAGTATGGACGCTGAGAAGGGAGGAAACAGATCAAAAGTTATTTTCACACCTCCCTTTGCCTTCCTAGTTGACCTTGCATCTCCTTCGCATGTCTTTGTGTCCACAAACATCCACCAAGAAAGGAAAGTTTACAGCTTTTCTTGAACCCCAAAATGAGATCTTTCACCTTCATTTTCATGTCTGCACATATCATAAGGGATGGTTTGGTCCTGTTTAGAACCAAGTGTCTAACCGAGGAGAAGCAAAGGGTTTTCAGTTCTGTTTGCACAGCTGCTGAGAACCCGAGCCTCCCCAGGCTTAGCTTTCGAATAATATAGATATCTGTTTCCTTTAGGGTGTCTAAATTGGCAGTAGTTTGAGATTCCACTTCTAGCGCGGGCCTATGCAAATTATTTTTAAGCTTAAAGTCAGAATCCTAGGTTTAAATCATTGCCCAACAGTTGTCAGACTCACTGACATAAAAAAAAAAAAAATACCCAGGAACAAGTTCTCTTTTCCTGCCTGAAAACAATTGCTCTTGTCAGCAATTCACTATCAGCCGTTGAACTTTTCATCTGCCACTAGGTATGCGTAAGAAATTTGATCTTTCACAACCTCATTTCACCTGCTGGTGTCTCACAAAAGACAGCTGCCTCCTTGCACCTGGAGGCCATGGGATGAATGGGACCACAACCATTAGTCCATTTGTACAGCTATATTACACTGTCGATAAAAAGACGGCTATAGAGGTCTCAGGAGGGGGATGACTGGTGAA